TGAATCAGCACTTGTACATTGAAGTTTTCGACATGACCCACAAGATTTTTAAGAGCTTGTCAAAAGATTTTCATATTCTCTAACCATGAATAAAAATGATTTCAGATAGCATCTCTACTGCACATTTTATTTCACGGGATTAATTTAATTGATTGAGCTGAATAGTTAAAGGTTGTTAAGTGGTTGCTAGTAACGATGAGAAAGTTTTAAATTTTTAGTAAAATACCAAGTACATGTTGACAGACTGGTTTTATTTAAATGGTTGAAACTCTTCTTTAATGTTGATACAGTTACACCTTGATTAAACCATCTTCTAAGACAAAAAAACAACAAATTCTTCATAACGAAACCAGCTTTATTAAGAAAAAAACCTGCAACTATCACATGAAGTCGATTTGCTTGGTATCTATTTGCATATTACAGTTGTCATATGATCATCTCTGCCCACATTTCATAGTTGGCTAAGTATAGTCAAAAGTTAATAATACTAGCTCTGGGGAAAATCAATGTTTTCCAAGTTTCTTGTGGATACATCATCCTGGCTAGACATTGAGGGCCAGTTTATTATAGAACAATTTGTGAAGGATTCAAAAGCCAGAATGTATGAGCTAAACCCTGGGAAATTTTCAGGAGAGAAGTACTGTTTTCTTGTCTTCTTTAAAAATCATAACTAAGACCAGAGATCTCCACTTTTCCCCCAGCTGTTAGGTAAACAGTGGGCCCTGATTTATTTCTTCCTTAAAGGTGATTCATTCTAGAACAATTGAAGACATTCTAGAATAATGGAGATCTTCAGCATTTTGTTAGAGTAAAACTTTTCTGTATGATACTTGAGCAGAGGCTGCTCTTCAGAAGCAGTGGCTTCTAGCACCAGTCAAGGTGCTGGGGGGTCAACAGGAAATCATCCCTAACTCTCAGTAGCTGTTTGTAATAACAGTCCCAGTCTACAAGCAACTCTGATCAGTGTGCACATCATTGTGCACAAAATCATCTACGGTATTTGTTAAAAATTCCCAGACCTCACTCAGACTTAATGAATTGGGATCACTGGGATGGGCTGAAAATCTGCATTTTGCAAACTCAGAGTCTGTTTATATATTTTGGCAACTAGTGTGCAGCTATGCTCCTGAAAGAGCTTTTAAACAGAACTACTTTAAATGTTCATAGAATTGAAATAGGGAAGAAAAACAGAATGAAATTCCGTTATGTCACAATCCTAGCTATTCATTTGAAATCATGAATAGTAGGCTCAGAGGAATCTTTTTGGTGACCAATACAAATTTTACTACTTACTCAAAATCTCTACTCAACTTTCATTACTCCTCTTACTCTCTTTAGCAGTTTACCTGAAGTTCTACTTCATCAAGAAAATGGAGGTGATCATTGGTAGTGTTTCTCTGTTATATCTGTATTCTTAGATTTCCTGGAAAATTTTCTTGACCCTCATTTTTCTCTTTTCCAATAATTATGTGAGCTTCTAACTCCCTGGAATAATTCAATCTTGCTTGAAATTGCTAGATTATTATGACTGATACAAGCTACATCCAAACTTTTCTATTACAAGCAATGATTTATACCAATCTATACCAGTCTGATCTTAGTGTCCTAAGCTTTCTCATGTAGAACCATGTATAGAACTATTACTTGACATTTTAATTGGATATGTGTATAATGGCATTACAATCTAAACATATTCAAAATTGGGTTTCTGATATTTCACCCAAGATCATCTACTCCTGCAACCTTCGCCACCTCGGTTTATGGCAATTCTCTCCTCCCAGTTACTCAGGTCAATCACTTTGGTGTCGTCCTTGACTCTTTCATTTTTCTACAACTCCCACAATTCACCTGCAAAACTTGGCAACCCTACCTTTAAAATATATTTAAAATAAGGCTCCCCCTGCTTCACCATGTCTCATCTTGAAATTTTAACACTGATCATTCCTGTCATACTTGGCACATACTTCTGTGGAATGTATCATTAAAGTAAGAGAATAAAAGCATTTCCTGTATTTGCAGCATTTTGACTATGTAAGTCAATCAACAGATATTTATTGAGTGTATGGAATGGGAATATCAGGTGGTGATAATAGAATATAAAGTGATGATGAGAGAAAGTCACTGCTTTTTACAGTGGAATGTTAGAGTGAACTATAACTTTTATTGTAGTGGGAAGAGATAGCAATAAATAAAAGCTGTATTTAATGCATCAAGAGATAAGTGTTGTGAATAAGAAAATGGTAGATAAAGGAAAAGTCATGTGTGGATATTTTATTCACTTATTTATTATTTAGGTATAATTGACATATTATATTAGTTTCAGGTATACAACATGATTCTATATTTGTATACCTTGTGAAGTGATCACCACAATAAGTCTAGTTACCATCTATCACCATACATAGTTACAAAATATTTATTTTCTTATGAGAATTTTAATATTTGTTCTCTTGGCAACTTTCAAATATGCAATATAATATAATCGACTATAGTCGCTTTGCTATATATCATGGATGTGCTATTTTAGATTGGTGATTTTTGAACAGAGGAGGTGACATTTGAACAGAGACCTAAAAAAAGTGAGGAAAGGAGCCAAGTAGATATGTGGAGTGAGAGGGAAATGTTTCAGACAGAGGAAGCTGCAAGTTCAAGAGCCCTGGACTAAGCATGTGCCTGGGGTGTTTGGGGTAACGCGAGCAAGGCTCAGGAGGGAGGGGCACAGTGAGCCTGGGGCAGAGGAAGGGGCTGGGAGGGGAACTTAAGAGCACCAAGGGCCCAGATCGTTTGAGCTCTTGTGGGCCAGGGTTAAGCTTTTGGATTGTACTTGGAGTGAGCTGGGGAGCCTTTGGGGGTTCTGAGAAGAGGAGAGTCATGGTCTGACTTGCAAGTTAGAAGGATCGCCTGGCCACTGGGTGGAGAATAGGATGTAGGGAGTCAAGGGAGCAAGACAGAGGCCAGTTGGGGGGTCAACAGGAAACCAATGGCCCTTGTCAAGCAAGGATTATGGTATTAGTGGAAGTAGTAAAAAGTGGCAAAGTTTTGGAAATATTTTGGAGATAGAGTCAATAGAATTTGAGATCAGATGTGGAACATGGTAGAAAGGATTTAAGATCACTCCAGCATTTTGGGCTGAATAGCTAGGAGACTGGAGTTGCCACTTTATAAGAGGGGGCAAGTTTTTGGGGTGGGGTAGGCAAATAGCTCAAATCAAGAATTTTTGTTTTCATGTTAAGTTTGAGATTCTGTTAGACATCCAAGTGAAGAATTTCAGTGTGCAGTTGGTCATATGGCTCTGGTGTCCAGAAGAGAAAAAGGGGCTGAAGACACAAATGTGGGAGGCATCAATGAATAGTGTAGAAAGCCAGGGGTTGGATGAAGTTTCCAGAAGGAAATTAATAGAGTAGAGATCTCAGAGATGAGAAGAAATCAGCAAAGGTGGCTGAGAGAGATAATCTCTGTGGGTGGGGTCCCATAGGCCAAGTGAAGAAAGTGTTCCCAGGAGGGAGTGATTTCCTGTGTTTCACAGGGAAGACAGGGAAAAAGAGGGCTGAAAAGCACAGAGATCACTAATGACCTTGATAAGAGCAGCTTAACAAGTGGAGGAGGCAAAATCCTGATTAAGGCGGACTCAGGAAAGAATGGAAAAAGAGGAAGTAGTGCCAGTGAGAACAGAAGAATTTTGCTATGAAGAGGAGAAAATAATGAGCCTGTAGCTGAATGGAGATGCGGAATCAAGAGAGGTTCTTTTAAAAAAAGACAACATCACTACACAGTTGTAAAGAGGGTAAAAAAAGTCAATGACTGAAGAGAAGAGACCACTGGAAGAGTGAGATCCTTGAATGAAAGAAGGAATGGAAATGGAATTGCGGATTGGCATTAAATGGGGGTAAATAGTATAAACTACTGATGCCGGGGGTTCTTGTTTGCGAGTCGAAGAATGAATTTAGTGAACGAGCAAGGTAGGAGCTTCACCGATAAAGTTTTATTCTGGATAAGAGAAAGTACGGAACTCCCCACAGGTGCAGGGAGGGTGGCAACCTGGGGGTCTCCCTGTCTAGGGTTTTGTGCCTGTTGCAGGGGGGGAGCTGTTAGTTTCTTACAGGTTCAGCCAGAATGCTAGTTACGTTTTAACCTAGCTCAGTAAAGGTCACGTGGATACCCTATTGCAAATTAATGGGCCTACTGTCTGTGGTCAGCAAGCTGTTCCATGTCACTGGGTCCCGGTGGGGAGCGGGGCACGTTGTTACATTGTTTCAACCTCAAGCACCCTGTTTTTCCTCTACATTCCTGAAGCCTCAGTAAGACTTTGTCCTTTTCCAGGGCCCTCGCTGTGCTCCAGCTGGGCAGGGGTTACTCCCTGCTGCCTCCCTATCTCACTAACGGTTGGGTTTTTTTTCTTACCACAGGATGAAAAGCGTAATAGGTAGGCACCGATAGTGGTGGTTTTGTACATTTGGTTGTAGGAGCAAACTGAAAATGCTTTCTGATTGTTTCTATTTTTCTCAATGAAATACGAATCAAGATCATGATCATGTGGGAGTTAAGGGAAGGCAGTGGGAGGGAAGAGGAATGAGGTAAGAAATGATTCAGAGGAATAAAGAGTGATTGTACCAGGGAAGTGAGGTGGGATTACAGAGCAGTACCAAGCACACAGGACATTAGTGCTGATGAATTTTTTTATGGGAATATAGTTGATATACAATATTATATTGTTTTCAGCTGTACAACATAGTGACTTGATAATATATATATTACTAAATACTCAACACAGTAAGTATAGTTACCCCCTATTCCCATACCAAGATATTACAATATTATTTGTTATATTCTCTACATTGTACTTGTATTCCTATTACTGATTATTGTATAATTTGAAGTTTGTACCTCTTTATCCCCTTCACCTCTTTCACCCATCCCCCACCCCCTCCCTATGGTAACCAATAGTCTGTTGTCATTATTTATTGGTCCCTTCCTTTGTTTTTTTTTTGTTTTGTTTCTAGATTCCACATATACATGAAATCATGTGGTGCTTGTTTTGGTTGGAGAGGAAAGAGCTAGAAAATGAGTTATGGGGAAGGTGGTGACCATGAAGACCTTGGAAGTAAGTGACTGAACGGTGTAATAGACGAGGTCCGTGGAGCGAGGCAGGCATTACGTCTCAGAACTCGCATTAAAGGAAGGATCATCTCAATGATAAGGAGATGACTGGAGAGGGTGACAGTGAGCCAAGAGCTAAAGTCATTAAGGACAGCTGGGGAGTGACCTGGAGAGTTGGTGGTGGCTGCAACATGGAGGGGTAGTGGATGGAATTGACAAGAGGCATGAGTTCTAAAGGTTTACAGAAGTGGAGAAAGTATGGTCTGGAAGTGGCACTGAAGGGCACAAAGGACAGCTTCCACCTCTGGGCCCAGCTGTAGGAGACCGAAAGAGTCAGTAACGGAGGGGACCAAAGGGGAAGTTGTATCCTCCCAGGAGAGCCCGATTAGAGTCACAGCAAGAGGAGACTGAAGGAAGATACAGGGGGTTTTGTGGATTACAGATGTGAGTTCCAGAGGGAAACCTGCAGGGATCATGGTTACTGGAGAGAGGAAAGATTGGGTCGGATTATTCCAGGATTAACAGAGCCTTAGGAGATGAGTGCTGGAGTGGGGAGGCATGCTGAAGGCTTGAGGCTGCTAAAGTAAACAGGGATGGAGAATACGATGGGATTATTCCTGCTGGAATTTGGGGCAGACAGAAGTGAGCAAGCTGTGTGAGTGCATTGGAGAGGGAAGGCAGGGGTCTTGCCCACAGCATGCAGAGCGCTAAGAGCTCATGACTCAGTCATTCTGCTGGTCACTTTGAGGAATGATACAGATGTGGTAGCACCAGGGGCTCGTAGGGAGTTTGACACAGTCAATTTATCCAATGGGGCCTCAGTCAGCAACAGGCAGGAGAAAGTTCCTAATTGCCTGCCATCAATATGGACAAATTAGTTCTCTCCATCTAACAGGGTACTAGAACAAATGTTTTCCCTGGTGTTCTCTGACATACCATTCTCAAGAGCACACATATCACTCTGCATAACTGAGGGAAGGGTAGATTGATTTCTCTTTAGTAAGAAAATGAGTGCTCCACAAAGTAGATAATCAAGGCAAACATGGCTTGGAATTTGAGAGACAATTGATTCTCAGGGATCAGTATGAGTGTAAATGAGAAAGAGATGACTTTGCATAGAAGACGTTCATTGGCTTATTAAAATGGAGCCCATATTAGGGGCCAGCCCTGAAGTCTGTCTCCCAACCCAGGAAGGTTATTTATGTTGCTGAATGACCTCCCCACAGGGCACTGATTCCAATAAGATCATCTAATGGTTTTCTATCCACTGCTTCTCCAAAGAAATGTTAGAGATAAAATGAGGAATTTAAGGCTCTGAATATCTGTTTTTTGGACATAGTGACATTTAGGAAGGAAAAAAAAAAAAAGGAATACACTCAAGGGTAAGGGAAAATGGATGGTACTTCTCTCTTTCTTTCCAAATCAGAAACTGCTTCAATCAGCCTTTTCCCCCATGAGTCAGAAAAACAAAGTGATACAAAATCCAGTCTATTCCTATGCCTTGAGGCATGACTGGAACTAAACCATTGGGGATACAAATTGAATCCTCTCTAACTAAAATTCAGTGTATAACATACAGTGTGGGCACCATGCAGAAACCACCTGTTCATAAATGGGCATTTCCTTTGAACATTCATAGGCAGGCTCTGCTCTAGTATAGAAAAAAGTTTGATTCTCAGGATTATTAAAAATGAATACTTTAAAATCTTCCCTAAAGTTAAGAGGCAATAAACAGAATAATATTAGTTTTAGTTGCTGAATTTTAAAACGAGACATTTCACTAACTTGATAGTTTATGAAAAGCAGTGCTAGGGTGGGGAATAGATTGCTAGTTTCACTCCTCATTGTTTGGGAGTCTGGAACTAAAACTATTGTCAGGCAGGTTTGGCCTACAGATCACAGAGTGGAGTGATGCATTCATTTATTGTATGCTCTTGTGACTGCTTCCAAGAGCTAATGGCAGTAGTACTGCAGTTCCTTGGAAAAACTAAAAACTAGAATTACCATATGATCCAGCAATTCCACTTCTGGATATATACTTAAGAGAACTGAAAGCAGGGTCTCCGAGATACTTGAGATATGTGTACACTCATGTTCATAGCAGCATTATTCATAATAGACAAAAGGTGGAAGCAACCTCATTGCTCATCAGTAGATGAATGAATAAATAAAATGTGGTATATGCATATGGTGGGATATTATTCAGCCTCAAAAAGGAAGGATGTTCTGACACATGCTACAGTATAGACAAGCCTTGAAGACATTGTGCCGAGTGAAGTTAGCCAGACACCAAAGCACAAATACTGTATGATTCCACATACGTGAGACACTTAGAACAGTCAAATGCATAGAGACAGAAAGTAGAAGGGTGATTGCTGTGGGCTGGGGGAGGAGAAAATGGAAGTGATGGTTTAATGAGTACAGAGTTTCATTTTGGAATGACAAAAAATTCTGGAAGTGGATAGGGGTGATGGTTGAACAACAGTGTGAATGTGCTTAAAAACAGTGAAGTAGACAATTAGAAATGGTTAAGATGGTACATTTTATGAGTATTTGACCACAATTTTTAAAAAATGGCTCTATGGATTTGCCTTTTCTGGACATTTCATATTAATGGAATCATACAATATGTAGTCTTCCGTAACTGACCTTTTTCACTTCCCACAATGTTTCAAGGTTAATTCATGTTATAGTAAGTGTCAGTACTTCATTCATTTTTATTGCCACATAACATTCCATTGTGTGGATATACCACATTTCTCTAAGAGCTGGAGGGAAGAGATAACAAGGGTGACTGTTAATGGGCACAGGGTTTCTTTTTAGAGCTTCAAAAATATTCTAAAATTAGATTGTTGCTGTACAACTCTGTGAATATACTAAAAAACACTGAATTGTACATTTTTAAGAAGTTGAATTTCAAGGTATGGGAATTATAGCTCAATAAAGTTGCTATAAAAAAATCCTAATGGCATCTTGGGTACATTGACAAAAGTACAGAGTCCATAACAAATATGGTGAAGAGGGCATACATGTAGAATCAGAAGGCCTAGTCCAAATCATGAGTCTGGCACTTATTAATGTGATTTTGGTCAGGTATTAACTTCCTTAAAACTCAAATATATGATCTGTAAAATGGAAATAATAAGTTAATACTTATTTTGCAGGCACATGGTGGGGACCAAATAACATAATGGATATGAAAGACTATGGGGAGAATGGAAGTTCCTATGGCCAAGATTCTCACCTTACCCTAAACTACTTGATGATGTAACTGGCCTACTGCTAGGCTCATGCTTCCACACCCATAGGCAATAAACTATTATTGACCAGTCACTATATAAAGAGCTCTGCCCCAGTGCTCTGGGCAGAGGCAGAGACAGAGGAGGATTAAAGACATGCAGACTGTTGGATGCAGACCTAATTCTAGCACTTGACCTACCACTGGGAAAACAAAGCCAGGTATAAGCCCCTTTACCCCAAGAATGTTCCATTGCCATTTCTCAGTCTCACTGAATCCATAGTGAACTTGCCTGAGGGGCTGAAATCATCAGACAAAAAGGAGACTTTTTATAACTATGAGTTTATGTATTAATATTAGCATTAATTAGAATGCAGGGGGTAATGTGCATGTGCACATGCATAGCTCTCTATTGTTCAGAGGTCTGTTGCATAGAAGAGAACTGGATTCATTCTGAACTGATATAAGGGACAGTACTGAAACATGGTGTAGAGAAAATGAGAAGTCCCTAGGGCCAGGATTCTCACCTGACCCTGGTCTGCTTGCTCACTACATATGCGTGGGCAATACCTTATTATTGACTCTATATTAAGAGCTCTGCCCAGTGCTCTGGGCAGCACAACTGCAGGAGAGCAGAGGCTGGAGTGAGATGGACAGATACTGAGACGGATGCGGGGGCAGAGAAGCCCAGAGGCAGAGACCGGCTTTCTGCACGCAAACTTGCTCTGAGGTGGATGGGATTCTAGTGCCTGACCTGCCACCATGGGAATAAAGTTGGGTTTAAACCCTTTCACCCCAAGAACGTTCCATTGTCATTTTTCAGTCTCATTGAATCCATAGAGAACTTACCCAGGACAATATACATGGGTATATTTTATAAGGAAGGTAGATCTTAAATTGACAATACAGATAACTTTCCAAGGAAAGTCCTGAGTACCCCTCACTGTAGCAATTGGAAGCTGTTCCTGTTAAGGTTGAAACACATTTAAGGTCCTCTTCCAATTGTGAGACCCTTTTTTTTTAAGTTCCCCAAATTTTAATTTAATTTTTCTTAACTCCAGTGTTTTCCTTTCTAACTCCCACCAGCAAAAAAGCAAAAATCCTAGGTTCTAGGCAATGGTTCTCAGGCTTAACCACACAGGGTAGGTTTCAACTAGGGAGAGTTATGAACTATTAATGCCTAGATCTCTCTCTTGGAGATGCTGAGAGGTCTAGAATGTAGATTGGACACCAGGATTTTTAAAGCTCCCAGGTGATTCTAATGTGCAGCGAATCTTGAGCACACTGCGGTGGGGGAATCATGTGATTCCAGAGTCTCAGCTGGGTGAGGGTGGCAGGGAGAGGGTCATTCTCCTAGCTCTTTCTTCACACTTCTTGTGTTTTGCCACGTCACCAGCTGTCTCTAAGTAGGTAAGCAACAGCTGCAGATGAATCTGGAACAGCTGTCAAACTGGAATTTCATTCCAGCAATTACTATCTTGACAAAGTCTTTTTCTTTCTGTTAAAAAGAAACTCTCCTTTACTTTACTGATGCAACTGGAGTCATGTAGGCCTTAATTGTGCTCCAGTCAGGCATTCCAGAGACATAAATGTCCAAGACAGCACTGGAGGGGAAGGAAATGGGGGTCCAAGGAAAATGCAAAAACAAATGCAAACTTTTGTCATTTATATATATATTGGCTTTTGCAGAAATGTTCTCTTTCCTCACCTCAGTCCTCTATGCTCTAAAATATTTCACTCAAAATTTTCCAATCAATTCTCCTTGACTTTTGGAGTTTTGCAGTTTTATTTCTGATATCACATCAGGCTTGGCAGAAAGGTTTAAACTTTCTTTCTGGTCAACTCTTTCCAATCAGTTTCTTGATCCCTAAGACCTAGGAAGGAGACTTTGTCTTTAAGATACTGTCATTTCCTTTGCTCTACCTTGAAGCTGCTTTCCAAAGACATGGAAAAAGGTTCACACAACCAGTTCTCCAATTCCAATCAATGTTTCCTCACGAACATTTTATTTTCTGTTGAGAGCTCTTATTATGGAAAAAAAAAATGGGTCTATGGAAAAATAAGTGACTTTTCTCCTCTCTGAACTTCTTAGGGATAGTGTAGATAGACTTTCTGTTTGCCCTACTCAAAAGAAAGACTCTTAGAGTGTGTGTTCAGAGGATAGGCCTTGTTATGCATATTGGTTTAAGAGATGACTTATCAAATAACCAGTCCTGAGGTAAGACTGAGCTACACACCCATTCCACAGAGTCAGGATTCCCTAATTAAACTATAAAGTGAAGAGAGGGAATATATTATTATTATATTCAAACATATTGAATGGATAAGAAATTTAGTGTTTCTAGGACAGTAAGGTAGGAGAATCAGAGAACAGGAATGTTCAGTGAGAGGATTAACCCTTTAGGTTTGAGGAATTTACTGACAGCAAAAAAGGAACATTTCAGGGAGGAAAGCTCAGTTTTAAGCCTGATAATGTGAGAAACTTCAAGTATGTTGAATTGCTGACACCTCAAACTTTCTAAGGCAAGCTGCTCAAAATATTTATCTCTTTATGAAAACTCCTTAAAATATTGTTTTGAAAAATCCTGTCCATTCAGGTATATTTGCAGAGGTGAATAATATTTCAATATGTTTGTAAAAGCCAAATGCTTGGCCTATGGCCTCACTAGGGGTGGATGTGATTTATCATACTCCCACTGAGGAAGAATCTCTCTCTTACTTAAAAAAGGAATCTTTCATTTTAGCTCCCTGGAAAAGTTTAAAATAGAGAAATATTATTTTCCTTAGAAGGCCTGATAAATAATTCAGACCAGCTATAAATCTTAATGAAAAAAAAATCTTTTTTCTTTTTCCATGAATCTCAGTCCTCTGTCTGTAATGGAACATAGCCGTTCTTTGACTGCTCCACATCTAATCACAGTGCTTTCTAAAAATGGCCTCTGATTTTCTTTTCTTTCTCATTCTCAATCTTTGTGATTCTGGTGAATTCTACCCCTGCCACCAGAGGCAGACATGTAACTCAAGTCTGGTCAATCCTACCAGAGACAGTGATTGGTTCAGGTTGGGCACATGATCCAAGTGAGACCAATTAGAGACAACAAAATTTCAGGATACTGGTGTCAGCTAGTACATTTTCAAGCATGTGACCATTATAGGTAACTGGGCTCAATCTTGCTTTGAAATCCTGGGAGCGAGTGTAGGGGACACACTTGAGTTACCCCAAGGGCAAAGGAACTATATTTTTATACCCCACATCCCATCAGTCATACACTGACAGCTGCTGATGGTGGTGGACAGTCATTAATTCTCTTGCATTTTGGCTTGAATGGTCAGAGAAAGCCTTCAGACAAAAATGCATTTGGTATTTGGTCCTGTGTGTACCCATATAGTAAGGTCAAGGGAGATATGAATGGAGCACTGACCCATATCCATCTGCTACAGTAAATCATGAGATTGGTACTATATCTTATTCCATTTTGTCATAAATGCTTGGTAAATGTCAGTTACCAATAATATTTATTCATTCAGCAAATATCTATTGTACCAGGAGCTGAGGTACATTCGCTGTGCTAGATGCTGAGAATAAAACAAAAAACAGAATGACAGCTTCCTGAGGAATGGGATATTCTATAATAGATACAAACAAGTGTGCAGAAAATTATGTGCTAATAACAGGGAAAGTAGGGGTGCTAGTAGAACATACAGGAGAGGATCCCAACCCCAAACATGCTTTCTAAGCACCCTCCCCAGTTTCGGCAGCAGGTGAAAAAAAATACTAGAGGGAGATTAAAAAAATAGATGACAGAGGTTGAAGAGAAGCTGAGATTTTACACTACATCTATTTGCATTGTTGAATGTCACTCTGTGTATGTATCACATGTACTAAAAAGTTAACTTGTTAAAAGAATAATCATGGTGTTTTAAAGGGGTAAATCTAGTAATAATCAACATAATGAATACAATTACCAACCACACTAGTGACCTAAACAAGAAAGTGTGGCAAAGGAGATTTGGGAACCCAACTTCAGTCTGGGTGATGGAGATACATGTTAGAGGAAGGCATGGCTAGAAGGCAATGGCATCTAGAAAGTTCTGACCTAACATACTGTACCCTGTCCATTCCAAGGAGAGAATCATCAGGGCTGTGGCAGCAGGAGGCTCAGCGAGCGAGGACTCAGAGATTCAGCATCTGTTCTGTCTCCAGGGCTGCCCAGGGAAGAGGCTACCCAAACTGGCCATCACAGTTTCTGGGGCTGCCTGTGAGGTTTGGAGGACACTCCACAGACAATTACTGAATTAAAGTAAGTCTATTTGAGATGATATATTAACCTATCACGGCTCACTAACACTGATCATTAAGAATAACTCTGACTCTGGTTTCACACTCACCGTAAACCCTTTGATTATCCTCTGGCTTCCCATGTCAGTCATCCTACGGGAGTACGGTAAGCTCTCTTAGGTAACTTCCTGGCCCCTGTGATAGATACTCTTAAATGAATACTTTGGCTCTTCTCTGCCTTGTTAACGTGACTCAGGGACCCTAAACTTGAGAATTACCTTGGGCAAGCCAATAAAAATCACGTTTCTTGGCCTGCAGAGCCAACCACTGGCCCTGCAAGATAAGCAGCCTGTGAGACCCTCCACCTCCCAGCCCCTGCACTACACTCTAGTCATTCTGGCCTCCTTGCTGTCCTTCAAGAACCATGCTGTCTCCTGTCCTAGGCTTTTAGATGACCTCTTGCTTCCCCCGGACCACTCTTCTTCCGTAGATAAGGCCTTCCAAAACCCACTTCATCTAAAATAGCACCCCCTGATATTTTCTATTTCCGGACCCTTTTTTGTTTTCTTCATTGCATTTAAACAATTTGATTTTATGTATCTGCTTAGCTACTTGTCAACTCTCTGGCTGTCTCAGTAGAATGTAAGTTCTGGAGTTTTTCTTCTTCTCTGTTGATTCCATAGCACCAAAAATGGTATCTGCAAACAGTCGATAAATTTTTTTTCAAGTGAATGACTAAAAGTTGTTTGCCTAAAAAGCAGGTGTAGTTGAAAGACTGGTATGAAGAATACATGACACTTTAAACCTTCATTTTTCATCTTCCCTCTGACGCAGCCCAAACTGAGAATGTTTTAAAACATAAATCTGTTCTCAGTATTTTAAAACACATCTACACTTCAGAACCTCTGTATCATACATCTAAAGTTGAACTTTCTAGAAGATGCATTCTACTTCTGAAATAAAAGATACCAAACAAAATACTTTGTTTGTTTGTTTGTTTGGGAAAGAGCATAGATCATGTTACTAATTACCATTCCTATACATATACCCACCAAATTCTCTCCACTGTGGGAAATGTGGCTGCAGGGGTCTTTAATGTGAATGAGAAAAAATAAAATTTTGAATAATGGGAAAAGTCTTCCATCCAGGTCTAGGTTTAAAGATCTCTCTCTTACTACATATATCCATCGTAGATTATAAAATCCCTCTAAGTTTCAGGAAGTCAACAAGAGGAAAACATCATACAGAAAGAGCATGACCCGGGACAGTCTTCTTCTTAAGTGTCTTGCATTGCAAGCATTTGAACAATGGAAGTCAGGGACACGATTACAGACGGAGAAGGCAACAGTTAATGAACTCTGACAAGAAATAGAAAGCCTATAATCTAAGGAAGGAGCTTAGAACAATTGCAAAGTGAGTCAAATTCTCTACAATTACTGAATAAATATTAGCATTTGAAAGTGATCAGACGAGTGGAGGTGAGAGTGAAATGAGGAACAAATGGTGGGTCAAAGTCACAGAAATAAGACAATGAACCATGGAGATCCCTACAGCCTGGTTCATAAGTTACCGTACCTGCACAATGGGGGTCACAGGTAAACTACAAATCTACACTGGGCGTCCTTGCCAATTCCTTGTTTAAATTACTTATTATAGGTTTATTGCAGAGTTGCAGTCAATTTATCTCAGTAAAGTCCTGAGCAAACACAAGGACTTTAGGTGTTTTATTAAGGAGGTGAGCTTGGGGGTCTGGCCTGACATTTGCAACCTCAGATGGAAAGGAAACCATGCCCTGTGTAAAATGGTTTTCTAACCCCCGTTTCTGTGTAGGGGGACTGGTCCCATTAGTTGACACTTGTGGGCTGGAGGTAATTACACTAACTCTCCCATGAAAAGAAACAGTCTGAGAACATGTGTTGAATTTTTCTGAATAATAATCCAAATTTCCCATATTATTCCATATGGTACATATTCAGGCAGTTTCTTCAAATTTAAGTATGTAATACATTCTGAAGCCCAAAAAGTTACTCCATCTAATTTCAACATTTTGCTTCTCAAAAAAATGTTCAGCCAAAATATACCATTTTTCTTTTACTAAGAAATGGAGATAATAGTACTGTTTTAGATCATTGGAGATGAATAAGAATTACTAGATTAAAATTAATCCCATAAATAAAAAACCTAAAAAAATAAAGCTGCATAATCCCAATGGTAATTAGCATGAAAACACTATTACTGAAAACTCAGTATGTCCATATTTAGTTTTTGAATGTACAGTTATTCATCACTTCAGAAAAAAAGAACCAGAAACAAGGTTTCTTAATATCTCCAACATGTTACTGTGGTCTGTGCACAACTAACACCACGATTTTCCTTACTTCCCCTGACAATGGGCACCTGAATTTAAGCAAGGCACTCAGGATTCTGTGTTAACAAGAGGTAAGCCGGGACCAGGGCCTCTTCGCTAGCTTGCCCTTCTCCCCGTTAAATGGTATCATTACTCTACAATTACATGAGGAACATTATGTTTACTAGACTCCCGCTATCACCAAGTCCCCCCCACATACCCCATTACAGTCACTGTCCATCATCGTAGTAAGATGCTATAGAATCACTACTTGTCTTCCCTGTGTTGTACAACCCTCCCCATTCCCCCCACTACATTATGTCCCCGCAGTTAAATTTTATAAAATACCCTGTAGATATAGAACAGGAGAGAGGAAAAAGGAGAAACACCATGTGGTATAAGCCAATAATTATTTCTATTCCTATTCAAAGACTAGGCATTTTACATGCATGGTTCACTACTCTGGCCCACCCAGGCCCTGAAGCTATTTTTCTTCCTTCAAATTAAGAATTTGCTAATCAAATCAAATGTTGATTCTGTATCTAAAATGATATGTGTTCTCTTTGTGCAAGTTATTAGGTCCCACTAAGAAACTAATTGCTGCCATTTCAGATTTCACAAGTAGCTAAAGCACTTTCTATAAGAAAGAATTCCAGCTGTATCCCTCATATTTTTTCACCATTTTAAAGCCATGTTTTTCTTCAGCTCTGTTGTTCAATCCATAAAAATGGAATGAGTAATTGAATGAAGTAATAAGGCTAACATGGGTAAAATTTAAATATATATTTCTTTTTGCAAGTGTGTAATCTCTCATGAGTCTTATATGCATGTAGATACTTATATGCATGTTGAATAATTGCAGACAATACAACACTGTCCTCAGTTTTACATATTGCCTATTCACAGGTTTAAGTTCACTTTACAATAGGTCAGCTGTCTGCTGTACCAGTCAAGCCTGAGTAACTTCTCCTCTTTTTGTCATATCCACTGTATGAAGCAGGTAGAATAAATAGCAATTTGCATGACATGATTTCAGGGCTACAGCTCTTTCTCCACCACTGTCTTCCTTGCTAATGTAGGACATTCTAAAACTAGAGATTAACTTTGAAGAACTCTATCAAAATGCAGATTTCTCCAGAAAGTGACTCTTGATACCTGCCTGGTAGAACAGTAAGTGAATTACACCTTAAAGTGAATGACTGTGTCAAGCCTTTCTTGAGAGCTGGTGTTGAGGAGGGTGGTAACAAGAAAGCCCTGGGAAAAAAAGGAAATGGAACAATCAGGAGAAAGAATTTTTAAAAGCAGAGGATCCAGGCAGTTCTTTTCAAGAGACGTGCAGGCCAGCTTCCTACTGAGAATGCCTTCACAGGGAAATCTTCAGTGAACAAAATGTACTGCCCCTAAAATCTATTTGCAGGTTCTTGTTAGCAGAGAATAATCAAGAGATGCCAACTGCTACAACTCCACATTTGGTCTCAGAGAAAACATCTCCAATGATTTTCCTCTCTTTTTCTTTTGCCAGAAAAAAACTGGGCCAAATGATGGGACAGTTATTTGGCAAGAGACTGAAGTTGCCAGAGGAATGAAGAATGAAAAAAAGCACAATTAAAATAAATTTACCACCAGGGATTTCATAACATCCCATCTGCAAGGGGAAGGACATTTTAAACTTGCATTTAAACATCTAGTGCCAACTGGAATCAAACTTTTGTGTGTGTTCATTGTAGTAAAGCTGCATTCCCATAATAGTTTCACATTTCTCCATGACTTAGGGGTTTTAGTGGTGTGCAAAATGAACTGAGAGTTGAGAAAATGTGTTTCTTTATGTTACTATTCTGATGCTATAGTACTTCTCTTCAGAATTGTTTCCATTCAAAATAATATTTTAAAATTGAAAATGAATGTTTACTTAAGAGCTAAAATAACTTTCAGGGAGACATGACTAAGAACATAAAGGTGTTGTTGAATATATTTTAATGTATTGGTAACTTGGTCCTGGAAATAGTTCCTATCATAGGCTTTGTATGGGGACAATTTTATGATGGCATGTTTTTTAATGCCTAAATTATAAACCTCAGACAATGTATCTTAGTGTCCAAATGATGGTATATGAAATGCTTAATCCAATATTTGAACCTCAGATAAAAATTCACTGCATTATACTATCACTAATGGTTTCTAAATTTTCTTTCATCCATTTTTTTCTGAAAAAATTAAAAGACTAAAACCAGTATTTACACTTTAATTATTTTTGAGCTACAGGTCTCAACTGTATCTACTTTTCTTCTATAAAATCTTTGAAAAATGAAAAACATTAAAAGCTTTTGAAAATCACTCTCTGTGTACTGATCTTTGATAAATATCTAAACACTACACAATAGCTAATAAAAACATTAGCCTTGTAATTTGAGCAAGAAACAACTTAATCATATAGTTGTTGTTTTTTTTAAAAAAAAAACACGTTAAAAGTGATGCTAGTAGAAATGTAGACTGCATCTTTACAAACTTTCAAGCTGTTTTTGGGTTGATCTGAGATAATTGCTATAAGCAATTTATAGACTTGACATGCTTCAGTTGATTCATACCTATCTGTAAGGTTGTAGAAGTGATAGATAGTTGACCAGATTGTCTTAAAACCAACTCAGATCAGCATCATGCTGAGATAACAGATTTCT